AATGTCAAAAGAGGAGAATGCCATCAATTGTATTGATGCTGCTGAAAGTACACGTATGACAAGGTATGAAAAGTCCATATGGTTTGGTAGCAAGGTCACTGATCACCTCAATAGTATTATTTCAGCGAAGTTAAGAGGTAGAAAACAAGCTTGGAGGAGACTGAGAAGTGAGTGGCACCAAAAGGAATGGAGAGGATGTTATAGAGAATGTTAAGTTTGGGTACAAAGGAAGAGGTGGGACAGTGTCTACAGTTAGATATCTTTTTTTTTTTTTGTAATTGGAGAGACTTTAACATATTTGTATGCTTATGAGAAAGATCTAGTTGAAAGAAATAAATATGAAAAAGAATAAAGAAAATCTTAAGACATCTTAGAAAACAGCAGTGATATGATGTAGACCACAAGTAGAGGAGAAAAGGATGGGTGCTGAAAAGGTAACACTCATGTTAGGCACTAGAACGAAGTCTTTCTCTTTAAAGCAGGAAGGGCAGCATCTGTTAAGAAAGCCGCATATTACTCAATGTAAGCGTATTCCAATGTAATAAGATTTTAGTTGAATGGCAAATACTTTTATGTTTATTTCAAAACATAGCACACGGAAAAATGCTTTATATGTTTTAGTCCATTTAACCACCAAAACAACCCTGTGCAGTAAGGATGTTTATTAGGGCCTTCACAGATGAGGGAGCTGATGCACACAGAGGTTAAATGACTTGCCCAGGGTGAATGGCAGCGCTGGGTATTCAAAACCAAACACCGACTCTACAGCCAGCGCTCAGTCAGTATTGCTGTAAGATTTCTCGGCAGGCTTGAGACAGTCCCATGTTGTCACTACAGATGGACGATTTCTGGAACACCTGAGATCCTAAGTCTTGTACTGCTAGGAGAGCTACGCTGACTCCACATTATCAAATAATGAAAATGTTAATTTATGGGCTAGGCAATAATGCTTCATAAATAAGCCTAGACAGTAAGACTTCATAAATTGACCTCCGTAATCACTAGTTTACACTACTGAAAAAGAATCCCAAAGATTTCTTTTTTAGTCTTTTATCACTTACTTTCCAGGACTACAACAGCTATCCAACAACATAAAGGTGGCACTGCAATTCACCTATTTATGTGTGATCTCCCTCGCTAGATCTGGGCATCTCAAAGGCTACCTATGTCTTCCTCATTGAAATATTTCAGTGCCTACTGTGTGACAACTATTCTGCCAGGTGCTAAGAAACAATATAAACAAGAGACCCTTGGTCTCAGGAAGTCAGTCAATAAAGAGACCAATAATACATGCTTTTAAATTGACAAAAATACTAGGAAAGAATCAATATCAGAGAATGAAGGTCAAGATGTAGAACTGGGTGTTTAGGCACAGTGACTGGGGAAGGCATCTCTGAAAAGGAAATATTTCAGCCGAGACCTAAAAGCAAAGGAAGGGGCATTCCAGTCACTGGGAATCCCCTAAGGTAGAAAATAAACAATTTAGAAATGAAATGAAATAAACCCAAGGTTGGCTGGAAAGCAGAAGTAAGGGTAAAGCTGGAGGCGAGATCATAGGTTATGATAAAGAAGTTGGATTTTACAGTCTTTACAAAGAAAAGCAACAGAGTACCCAGCAGGAAACACACATGATTTTATGTATGCTTTAAATGATAATCCTATTCTATGAAGAACACAGAAGGCAAGAGATAAAACAAGGAGACCAGTAAGGGCTATTGCAACAGTTCAGGAAAGAGATGATGGTAGTCTGGAGTAGAGGTTGGTAGATGGAAATGGAGAAAAGTTGAACAGGTCTGACAGAGATTTAGGAGGTAAATCTGATCTTTGAAAAAGGAGTGAAGGCAAGTCAAAGGTGAAAGGGCAGTCTCCAAAAGTGGTGTTAGAACAAATAAACATCCACATTGGGGAAAAAAAAAAAACTATCGATCTAAACACATTAGCCATACCTAAACACCGAGGAGTGTATTTGCAAATGGAAAATAAGCTTATGAAAAGATGCTTAATATCATGTCATTAGGGGATTGCATATTAAAACAATGAGATACCACCACACATTTATCAAAGTGGCTACAATTCAAACACTGACAGCATCAAATGCTGGCAAGATTATGGAGCAACAGGAACTCTCATTTATTGCTGGTGGGAATGCAAAATGGTGCAGCTACTTTGGAGTAGTATACAGTTTGGTGGTTTCTTACAAATCTAAGCACAGCCTTACTGTCTAAGATCCAGCAGTCACATTACGTGGTATTTTTCCAAAGAGTTGAAAATGTAATGTCTTCAAAACACCTGCACATGAATGTTTATAGTAGCTTTCTTTATTCATAAGTGCCAAAAATTGCAAGCAACCAAGATATCCTTTAATAGATGAATGGATAAACTATGGTAGATCTATACAGTAATAAAAAGAAATGTGCTATCAAGCCACAAAAAGACAAGGACAAACCTTAACTGCATATTACTAAATGAAAGAAACCAGCAGAAAAGAATAAATACTGTATGATTCCAACAGTATGGCCTTCTGGGAAAGGCAAAACTAGAGAGACAGTAAAAAGATCAGTGGTTGCCAGGGACTGAGATGGTGAAGGGTGAAAAGGTAGACAGCATAGAAGATTTTTAAGTGCAGTGAAACTTTTCTGTAAGATAGTGTAATGGTGGATACATGAAATAAACATTTAGCAAAACCTCATGGATTACAGCAAAGCCTAACCAAATAGAGAAAAGGAAATATCCAAATCAGGACATTCCTGTCCCATCTAAGTGTACATGTGCGTGTGGGTGGGGGAGACAATTTTTGAAGGCGAAAGTCCCAGCACAACCCACAAAAAGACTAAGACCACAAAGGACCACAAAGCACATCCCTCCCCAGCACCAGACCACATGAACAGGGAATTACAACTGAAAGAATGGCAGGACTCAGATTCTATTTATAAAGGAATTTCTAAGGAATCCCAAAGGTAACAGAGTAGGACCCCCCCCCCAAAAGACAGTAGAGGAAATTTTAGCCTTTGACACATACAGGTACAGCAAAGAGTAAACAGACTAACACCTAGCCAGATCAACATAAAACCTCATACAAGAGGCCTATCTGTGTCTAAGCTCCTTTTTACCCAGTACATCATGTCTAGTATTTAACAAAAAATTACAAGGCATTCTAAAAGGCAAAATATGCAATCTGAGTATACTAAGAAAGCATCAGAACCAGATTCAGGTATGGCAGAGACTTTTGAATTACTAGACCAACAATTTCAAACACCTACTAATATGCTAAAAGTACCAAGGGAAAAAAAGTAGGTAGCATGCAAGAACAGATGGACAATATACGCAGATATATGAAAACTCTAAGAAAGAATCAAAAGGAAATATTAGAAATCAAAAACAGTAACAAAAACGAAAAATGCATTTCATGGTTTTATAAGTAGACCAGACATGACCTAAGAATCAGTGAGTGAAAAGATTATGTCAAAAGAAATTTCCTAAACTGTAAAGCGGGAAAAAAATTAATAAAAGGAACAGAATATCCAAAAGCTGAGACAATTTAAAAAGATGTAACATACGAACAATGGGAATACCAGAAGAAAGAGAGAAAGGAATAGAAGAAATGTTTAAATAAATAATGGCTGAGAATTTGCCAGGATTTTTAACAGACACCAAACCACAGATCCAGGAAGCTCAGAGATCATGAAGAAGGATAAATACCAAAATATCTACACTTAAGGCATATCACATTCAAACTGTACAAAATCAAAGACAAAGAAAAAAATCTTGAGCAAAGCCAAGGG